CCTTTACTAGGAATAGAACTTAGGAAATTCACTTTGTTGATATTAATTGCAAATATCTGATTTCATGCCAAGGAATATGGAATCGAATAGCCTTACATACCTTATTACCTGACCAGTACAACTATCACAATTCGGCCTCCCCTTTTAGGTGTTAATCTACAATATAAGTCATGATAAACTAAAATCAACAGCTATCACACTGTGGGCTTCATAAAATAATAGCTAACTATGACGAACAACGAGCATACAACCCTTAAACAAATGTGTATCACCACACCCTCCTTCTCTGTCCAATATATACCTTATATATTCTTTTCCAAGATTACCCAAGCTGCCCCAACAACAATACACATAAAATATCCCCAAATATTCTTTGTAATACAACAAACTATTGAGCTCACCACCCCTTGAGTTCTTAATGACAAACTCATACATAAGGAGGACAAAAATGGATCAGTCACCTTACCTCAATTTCTGCAACTTTTCCTTATAACTTGAACTCTTCTAGAACTTCAACTTCCCTTCACACTTAAACGAAAGAAGAGGAGAAAAGTTTCTTAATAACCAATTAGAAAAATGAGCAGTAGCTTGTGGAAACTTTTGCCTTGTACTTATAATTAAGCATGAATAGCAAGTTCTCCTAGTCTTCCATGAGAGGATTAGACTAAATCCATAAGTGTTTTTTCTTACGTTGGTTTGCAAATATGAGGGTTTCTTCAAGAACCCTAGAAGGAATTTTATGGTTGTTTTAATCCTTAAGAGAAAAGAGAGAGAGAGTTGGAGTTGATTCTAATTTTTTATGTGTTAAAATGAGTGGAAATAGCAGTCAATACTTATCTTATATTGAGCTTTCTTGACCCTTAAAAATATCCTCTAGAACCTTATATTTAGCTTCATTTCCAGCCACTTATTGGTCAAGTAGGTGATGCACTTGCTTATGTACATTGAGCTGCTCAAAAGGTCAAAGTAGGTGATTCGCCTACTTGCCCTTTTTCTTAGTTGGGCTTAACTTACATTGGGCCTTGGCAGATTTGGCTGTTGGGTTTTGATTTTATTTCCATTTTATTTAACTTAGTTTGGGCCTCAAGTGATTCCATTAATATATGCCTAAATCTGATCTATTTTATCCCTTATTCTTCTACTCAACTTGGGCCAGAATTAGTGCAAGTAGGTGGTAGTGTACTTGGCCCAATATGGTCAAAATAATCTTAGTAGGTGATGCACCTACTTGGTCATTTAAGCTGGTCAATAAGTCTAACTAGATACACCTACTTGTCACCTACTAGCTTAGTTAAGTCAAGCAAGCAACTCAGTTATTTTAATCCATTCTCTAATTATTAATCCTTTTTTCCTTAACTTAGCACTTAAATTACAACCTTACTATCCCTAATTTAAATACTTCCATCGGGGTTAACTTTGAGTACACATGCTGAAACATGCAAGACATCGCATCACCTTCCAAGCTAGTTTACACCAACAATAATCATATAAGAAACATGGTCCCTCACATATATGATAAGGCTATGTCAAGAGTATCATATGAATAGAACTTGTATATGCGTAATATGGGGTGTTACAATTATATATCGAGTTGATACGTATACCACTAAGTAATAAATATAAAGATAACTTTACTATAACATAAATGTAATGTTTTGGAAAATGCATTGGGGAAATGAGTGTGGTTAATGATAAGTGTTAATTTGGAACTAAATGATAAATTATCTCTTGATTTTATCTATATTGGACAAGTAAAACTGAACATCTATTTTCAGTATGGTGGACGGGGGGAATATTAAACATTCGTTTTATGTAAGTTATTTGGTGTTCTAATGTACATTTTGCATTAAACTAGCATGCAAACGTTTGGTGCAAGTTTATGTGTAGATTTGATGTTACTCATATGCAACTTATACGTTTCAACACACCATATATTCAAACGTAACATTTTTTCCTTTCAAAATAATAAATAACGTCAGCTAATTGTATGTTTTTTTATAATAATAGCTAAAAATAAGATTAATATGAATTTTTCATTGTTCAGCTATGAATTTTTATCCGTCAGTAATTTTTTATTTTTCTTGTAGTGACCTTGAACCTGTAAAATTAGAAAAGAATTGCGAAAAATTTTCTTATCCTTTTTCCAAATGAATGAAGTGTTGTACAATGTATCCTTTTTATACAAGTGAAAAGCACGAATCAACCTATTTTACTTCTACTATAATTGCCATCTACTATAATTAACAACTTAAAGAGTTCTTAGTTAGGTACAAGTTATTAAAAGATTCATTACCATATACACTAAAGATTTACCTAGGCTATACAAGGAGAAAATACTAATTATTGACAAAAGATTGGGCCAGAATTAAGTTGTACAGACTGGGCCAAAACGTGTGCAAAAATCATCCCATGTCCAAACTCCAAATCTGCAAAATTTGAGATATGTCATCGGAGGTGTGAAAATCACCTAACATCAGAGAACCTCAACACCTCCCTCAAGGTGGAGGGGATGAACGAACACCCAACTTGAGCAAAATATTGTGATGAAGAATATGTGAGGGACTTTGTGAACAAATCGGCTAATTAAGAGGAAGATCGAACAAATGAAAGTGAAATGAGGTCATCCAGAAGCTTCTGTCAAACAAAATGTCATTTAATTTCAACATGCTTTGTTCGTTCGTAAAATACGGGGTTCTTAGCTATGTGAATCGTTGCCTGACTATCGAAATGTAAAGGCACAAGCAGGGGCATCAGAATGGACAATTCCTGAAAGAGACAGACCAACCAAGTGAGTTCAACCACTACTCTCTGCATTGAACGATACTCAGCCTCTGCAGATTTAAGAGAAATGGAGGTTTGCTTCTTGGATTTCCAAGAAATTGGAGAACCCCCAAAGGTGTGTTTGGTACGTAGGAAAATGTTTTCTTGGAAAACAAGTGGATTTCTAACTTATTTTCTCATGTTTGGTTGGTGAGTAGAAAATATTATCTGGAAAATATTTTTTAATGTTTGGTTGGAGATTGAAAAATATTTTTAGAAAATATCTTTTATTTTTAGCTTGAGACTATAAAATACTCTTTAGAAAAATAATTTCTAACCTTAGTGGCATAAAAGAAGAAATTTTAAAAATTTGAATTATTTTTCAAAATAATTTTTTCAAACACGTATTTTGACGAGAGGTGGTGGTTGGGGGATGGCTGGGGTAGGGGTAGGGATAGGGATGTCGTAAAAATTGAAATATTTTTCGAAAATATTTTTTTTTTAAAATAAAATTTTGACGTGCTTGGGGAGGGGGTGCAATTGGGTGTAGTGGTGACATAAAAAAGGAATTTTTAGAATTTCTAAAATAGTTTTCAAATACAATTTTTTTTTTAAAAAATTGATGAGGTGGCCTGGGCGGGGGTGGCGTAAAAAATGAATTTTTTTTAAAATTGAAATATATTTCAAAAACAGTTTTTTTTAAAAAATTAATTGATAGAGATTTTTTAAAAAAAATTGATGGAGGGTGGCTTGGGTGGGGTGGGGGGTGGAGAGGGCGTAAAATGAATTTTGTTTTAATTTAAAATATTTAACCAAATTTATTTTTGTGGGGGGAGAGGACAGGGGTTGTAGAGGTTGAGTGAGGTAACAAAATATCTCAAAATTTGAAATATTTTTTAAAAATAATTTTTTTTGTTTGGGGGAGTGGGACTGGTTTGGGGGTAGGGGTAAAAAGTATTTGAAATTTAAGAAATAAGAAAATTTTAAAAAAATATTTTTTTTTATGGGGAGGGTCTGGTACGGGGTAGGATAAGAAAACAATATTGAAGGATGAAGTAGATTTTTGGAAAATGTTTTCCTTAATTTTTGAAAAGAAGTCATTTTCCTTAAATTTGAGGAAAATGAGTTGATTTGGAAAACATTTTTTGATAAAAATTTAGAAATTATCCCATATTTTATAAAAATACCCATCATTTATAGTTTTGAACTAAATTTTATCCTAGTTTTTTGTACAAAATTTATGCTGCATATTTTATACAATTTTTATCCAAACTTGTTCTACAAAGTTACTTCCAATTACAAGTAGTAATACTAGTTTTTTTTTTTGTATAAAATCATGGTATTTTCCTTTTGTTTTCTTCCTCTTTTCTCAAATTCATATTAATTATGTTCGTTGTCATGACTTTTCAATGAACATTATCATTATAAAATGATAATACAAACGTATGGGTATTTTAAATAATTTTTAAAACTTGTAGGTATAATTCATATTTGTTTTAAAAAGATAAAATATTTCTCAAAATCTATGGTCGAAACGCATGGTGACACTTCCCTTGTAAATATTTGTAAAAATATTTAAAAATTTGTGGTCAAGCGCTACCTAAATAACAAAGTCTTGATTTGTTATTCTGTTGACCCGATAAATGTCAAGTATGGATGTATTATTGCAAATCCAACCTATAATGTATGCGTCATTAAATAGCTGGCATATTCTAAACCCACTTTATAGTCATATACTCTCTCTTCCGGCCTTGCCTTCTTTTGACATACTTTCTTCCCCCACCAAATAAAATAGTTATGAAATTCTATTTGGCCAAAAATATATTTGAAATAAACATATTTTTAAAATTTGATCAAACATACTCATTTTCAACAAATAAAATAGCATTTTTTTATAAAGCATATTTATCTAGTAAAACTTTAAAAAAAAGTAAAAAAGTTTTAAAATTAGATGTACCTTATTTTATTCAACTAAAAACTAATAAAAAAAAGCATGGAATCAAATTTAAACCGTTGGACAATTATTAAATTTCCTTTTCTCTAAAAAAAATCAAACCGTTGTACACACTCTCTCTCGGCATCTCCTCTCTCTCTCTTTCTCATCCTCACAAATCTCAGTAAATTTTTGTTTGATTTCAATGAATTTCTTCAGTAAATCTCTTTGATTAGCAGAGAAATGAACTGTATTAGTTTCAATTTCAGATTCAAAAAAAGAGGAAAACCCTAGCTAAGTGATTTTGTGTGAGCAAGTGAAAAATATGAATCAGTATCGTATATATGAAGCTATTGGCCATGGAAAACACTCGGTAATGGTTTATTTTTTCTCTGTTCTTCTTTTGTATGCGTTATTAGGTTAACTGTTTTCTTTAAGTTTCTTTTTTTTTTTTTTGTCTTTTTGCAGACTGTATATAAAGGAAGAAAGAAGAAGACAATAGAGTATTTTGCGATTTTAAGTGTGGATAATTCTCACAAAAACAAGGTTCTTCATGAAGTATGAAACCCCATAAAAGAAGTTTCTTTGTTTTTATATTTGAATTTTAATTGTAATTTGAGTTTGAGAGTTAATTCATACAGAATTTACTAGGGAAGTGGAATTGGATTGTTGAAATTTCGAATTTGATTTCACCTACAACAATAACAACAACAACGTACACAACATAATCTCATAAAGTGGGGTTTGGGAAGGGTAGAGTGTACACCAACCTTATCCTTACCTTGGGAGGTTGAGAGATTAGACTGTTTTCGTTAGAACCTTACCTGTATATGCTTGCATGTGATGATAAAATTGTGGAACTGCCTGATTTATCCTCTTGATAACAGTGGTATCTGGGCCACCGTGTATTTTAGTGCATAGTACTGTCTGTTTGTTATGCACATCAAGGGTTAGGTAGATGAGAAGATATCACCTAGTGTTATGTATTGTGAAATTTGAACCTTAGTTCCCAAACTGTTACTTGATCTATTTGATTGCTAGGCCACCCTATTGGGAAGATGAGAATTTAAGATTTAATTGGGAACCAAGCTGCGGAATTTATTTTATTTGCTACCCAATAGCTCTCTTAGAAATTTGAGGACTCCATAATACTATTGAATTTTAATTGTAGTCAACTTTTTTCAGAGGAATAGACATAAAGGAAGAATGTTATTTAATAGGTATTTATAGGGTAATTATTCGTGAGCCCTCCTTAGTTTGGACTTTAGAAACCGTCTGCTTACAACACGTTGTTGTGTTATTATATGCATTGACTTGCGGTAAAATTCTATTGGTGCTTGCTAATCTGCAGTGCTAATGGATCGGCGTACTCAATTGTTTTAACATTATCTGTAGTTCTTACAAATTTGCAGAAGCAGCTGAACTACTTCAGAAGCTAAATGTATATGCTTTTAAAAAGCATGGTCTTAGAAAACAACTTGCCTCATCATATTTCTAGATGTAAAGGATTGTTGATGCTTGTGACTATCATAGTTATGAGAATATTGGGAATTATATGAGTCATAACACAGTCTTTCTGTTCTGTGGCATAAATTTGAAATCTCGTGAACAAATGATGAAGAACCCCAACCTCTTTTCGTAAAATCTATTTCCTTCAGTTTCCTTTATGCATACTTATTCTTTTATTGGCTACATTTTCCGCAGGTCAAAATTCTTCATTCTCTAGATCATGCAAATGTATTGAAGTTCCACTCGGGGTGAGATTTATCTTTTTCCTATCTTCCATGTAACTCCTTTTTTTTTCTTCAATTTTGTTACTGTGGTGAAGGTCATTTTGGTGTTTAATAAGAAGATTTATCTGACTTATTTTCTAATTCAACCGATCCATAGGTATGAAACATATGCACACCTTTGGTTGGTTTTAGAATATTGTGTTGGAGGAAATCTAATTAGCTTATTGCAGCATGTAAGCACTGGCAGGTATGGTATTTTATACTTAAATTTCATTGATCGAGTGGTATAACTGCTGTGTTGGCATATAGGATGCCTTATGCCGACATTATGCACGAACATCTAAAATTTTTTACAACACCCTATTTCTTCTTGGTCTTTTTATTATTGAGGTTTCATGGTAAATATGTTGCATGCCTACATTAGGATTTCCCAAACAGGCACTAAGGACATCGGTGTCATGTGACGATTGAACACTTAATTAGAGATGATTGTTTGTAGTCTCACAAAATACAAATATAGGTTCTCACTCTTTGGACTAACTTGTTTCTTGTGCCAGAAAAATGATGTGAAAGAAATAGGTTTCTTTTTTGATTTGTATATAAAGAGTAGTCAAAATGACCACAGTTTACTGTAGTTGGTAATGTCACAACTTGCAGATCCATCATCTTACCAGTATTTTAGTTTAAACCACACCTGGGAGATTTTTAACATCATTGAATCTCAGAGTTGAAGGATGGTAAGCTTCTTGAAGATTCAATACATGATCTTGCTTGTGGCCTTGTTAGAGCTCTTTTGTAAGGAACTTTAGCCTTCATTGTTCTTTGTAACACTTGTTCTTTTGGGCATGAATTACTTTTTTGGTGTATTTTCTACTATACCAGATACTTGCATTCAAAGGGTATTTACTGTGACTTAAAGCCATCAAATATCATGTTGGATGGAAATGGAATCACGAAGGTATGGTGATCTTTATGTTGTGACTTTTCCATATCATGACGAGTGCTTTTGACCAATTATATGAAGTTCAAGTTCCATTTGTTTCCTGGCAGCTGTGTGATTTTGGATTAGCAAGAAAATTGAGTGATATATTAAAGACACCTTCCTCCCAGGTAGTTCACCTCTGTCTCCCCTTCTTTTTTCCCTAAAATGAAAAAAGGAAATTTGATTCGTTAGTAGTTAAAATGTTCAATGTTACTTTTATTTTGAAAAGGAAGTAAGATTTTGAACCATCTTGAGTGATTTGCAGGCCCTGTGTGGTGACTTATTAAATAATGCCTTGTGTTCAGTTTTTTCACCTAGCCGTTCCCGAATAGATTCATGAGGTTGCCCGATGATGGATTGTTTAACGACTTTCTTAAGGCCAAAATTGTCGTTTTTTGTGAAGGTTTTGACTTGGTTGGTACTAAGAACATAGTCATTCCACAAAGGGTGTTAGTAGATTAAGACAACAAAAGGGCGGTCATAGAAGTCAAAATCCTCTATGGAGTTTGTATCAAATCAACTGCCGAATCAACTAGCCCCTAAAATGGATTGCGCTTTAAGCGCTTGACCTACACCCAAGCGTCGCGGCAAGTGCGAGGCCTCGATGAGTAGGAGGGCATGACGGTTGCTACAAAACTTCTGGCATAAATCTAGGCGGAGCGGCTGTCGCTGCATATTTTGATGGTAGAAGCAAAAATTCAAATGAGAACTTTGATGGCGAAAGAGGGGAAATGTTCCATGTGAACGACACTTACATATGGATTGGTCAATCCTAAGGGTCTGGGGATCGCCGACAGTTAGCACGTGTGACACGTACTCCGAAAGGGAATCGGGTTAAAATTCCTGAAGTTGGACGTGAGGGTTGATGCCAACGTTAGGAAGTGTAGAGATGTAGATGGGAACCTCGATAAAAGTTTTCTTATTTGTTTAATAGCCTACCCTCCCTGGAATCGGCTCAGCAAGAGGTAGGGTCCAGCGGCTTAAAGAGCACCGCAAGTAGAATGGTATATGATGCGCTCCTGGTAGCCCTTCAAAATCTGGAGGAATGAATGTTATCCACGCTCGGTCATACTCATAATCGCATAAGGTCTCCAAGGTGAACAACCTCTTGTCATTGGAACAATGTAGGGAAGGGAATTCGCTAAAATAGATCTATAACTTTGGGAAAAGGATTGGCTTTGAGGGTTGGGCACGAGGGTCCCAGAACCAAACCCATCGATGTCGGTAGACTACTCGAGCTCCTCCAGGAGCGAGAGTGGGTTGCCGCCCGGTGGACAGATTGGAATGGTTCCTTCGGGGCCCTTTCCCAAGCTATAAACAGCCAACTCAAAACTAGTACAAACAAGGGGAATCCGACTGTTCAATTAAAACAAATGATTTCGATGGTCCCAACGCATGTTTACACAATGTGATTTCTCCCTGGTGTTTTGAATTTCAAAGTGAAGAAATTCAACCAAGAGTGGGTAAATGACGAGAGTAACTATGACTCTCTTAAAGTAGCCAAATGCCTCGTAATCTAATTAGTGATGCACATGAATTGATTAACAGCATTCTTACTGTGTCTACTATCCAATGAAACCACAACCAAGGGAACATGCTTTGTAGAATCTGCCGGGAAAGAAGACCGTGTTGAGCTTGACTAGGTCCGACTTTGTGAAATGACTTGAGAGGTGTAGTAAAAGTGGGCGCGGAAAGGCGAAAACAAAATACAACTACTTTTAATGTTATTTTACTTATTCTATGAATCAGAAGCGGGGTGTTGCTTCTCATTATGGATCTAAGGTTTGCTTCACGGGCCGATCCGAGTGGAAGACATTGTCACGTGGGGGAGTTTGGCTGGGCGGCACACTTGTTTAAAGATAATACATGTGTCCTAAGATGAGCTCAAAGAGAAAAAATCTCATATGGATAGAAGGGTAAAATCCCACTTAATTCTGATTTCCATTACGAATACGAACTATGGAAGAGTGGCCTAATGATGCTTTAGACCTTCAAAATTGGAAGCTAGAGGTGTTAGAAAAGTTACCACATGGATAAATGGCTTATGGCAGCCAAGCGTTCATAGAGACATTTTTTTATCCTTCGATGTCCGCTCTTCCTATCATTGTGAAGCAGAATTCACCAAGTGTTGGATTGTTCACCCACCAATAGGGAATGTGAGCCAGGTTTAAACTGTTGTGAGGCAGGTTTAACCTACTGATGACAGTGTCACAATAGTAATTAAACCTAGTACGAGAGGAACTGTTGATTCACACAATTGGTCATCGCACTAGGTAAAAAAGCCAGAGGTGTAAATCTACCATGTGCTGGATTAAGACTGAACGCCTCTAAGTAAGAATCTGGGATAAAAGGTTCCACGTACTGACCCATAGTAGGGAGTTATAGCCCCCATGGGCACTTGTCGTTGGCTAAATTATCGTAATTAAAGCATCGTGGTGACCGCCTTGATGTATAATTTCCATCGAGCAACGGGTAGAATCCTTTGGAGATAAATGAAATATGCTACGGGGTATTTTAAGTGACAGAGTGGCCTAGCTACTACCATGAAACACTGAGATTCAGCCCTTTTTCACTCTGATTCGTCCCCCCAACCTCATATGCAATTCTAACTTTTCAAAAGTAAGAATTATGTATTGCTTACTTCCTTGTAAGGAAAAAATCTACCAAGTTGAATTCAACATAAGTACCGAGAATAACATCGTACATGAAATGTATTACTCTTCCACTAAGTTTTGAACTATATGTTCTATGGCGACCAATAAGTTGTCCAATAATGATGTCGCATTATGAGGTTTTCTGTGTGTTGAGTTCATTTCTCATGCCTAATGACATCTCAAGGGTCTGATAAAAATATTGCTATCAAAAGTCATTTTGGGATATCAGGTGCAATCCTGAAGCCAAGAGACATGGTGAGAGGCATACAGGTCTGCATAAACAACACGTGTGTCCCATTTGTATAGGGCTGGCAACATCGGTCAGTCAAGGACTGCGCACCAAGGCCAAGTGATCAACCAAGGCCTATACGCACAAGATAGGCAATGCTGGTCGAGGCTAGATGACGTTGGTTGAGGCCATGCGATTTCTTCCAAGGTCCGAACATATCGAAGAAGCAATGTTGGAAATGCATCGGACAAGCGACGTTCGTCGAGACCAGACGACATCACACAAGGCCTGCGTGTATCTTACCGGTGCCGTCAGACAAGGCCATGTGACATCAGCCACACGATGTCGGATGAGGCAAGGCGACATAAGCCAAGGCCTACGCGCATCGTACATGTGACGTCTACCTAGGCGTCATCAGCTAAGGCCTACACACAACGACCAGGTGACGTCTGACCCTCGCAAGCGGTATTTGCCAAGGCATGACCACATCAAATAGGCATCGTCGGCAAAGGCCAAGGCCAATGCACATTGAAGAGGTGACGTCGGTCAAGGACAAGCGACATTAGCCAAGGCATGCATGTATCGACCATGCAATGTCGGACAAGGCTAGCCAAGGCCTGTGCACATTGAAGAGGTGACGTCGGTCAAGAACAAGCGACATTAGCCAAGGCCTGCATGTATCGAACATGCAATGTCGGATGAGGCTAGGCGATATCGGCCAAGGCCAGACAAAATCGGCCGAGGCCAGGAGACATAGCCGTGGCATGCATGCAACGACAAGCGTAGGGTAGGAAACATCTATCATGGCCTACGTGCATCGGCCAGGCGACGTTGGCCATGGTTAGGCGGCATTGGCCAAGTATTGAGCATCAAGGCATAACAACATTAGTCGAGGCCAGGAGACATTGGCAGTGGCATATGCACAGCAGCAAGCTGAAGTCAAGCGACATCCACTGTGGCTTGTGTGGTTTGTGCAGACATGAGTCAGTCAACATCGACTGAGGCCAGGCGACATCATCTGTGGCTTTTGCATAACCGTCAGGTGATGGCAACCAAGGCCATGTGACATAGGCCATAACATGCAACATTGGTTGAGGAAAAGAGACATCGTCTATGGCTTGCATGCATATGATAGGTGAGTCGGACGCGACGACATCAACTAAGGTTTAGTTTACAACATGCGGACGCTCATGCCATACAAAAATCAAAAGAGCATGAAACACAATTTAGGCATAACAACGCCACGTATTCTCAATGTTTCCACCCCATATGGTTCATTCGTACTAATTTTCTCTATATTTTCAATTGATACAATATTTAAACATCTTTAATTTACACAAATATGTCCTATTACATGGGCCTTCAGGATTCGAGTAATATTTAATAGTTAGAGTCGGAGGCATTCGTATTTCATAGTCCGAAGTGAAATTTTTTTATTTATGAAAAAAGAACAAGTGCAAAGCATTTGCCAAGGATGTTTTCATTATTCAAGAACGGAAGTGAGGGGCTCAAAGTTCATCATATACCGTCCTAGTCTCAACCATAAATAGTGTTGACCAGGGATCGACATATTTTGCTTTTAGGACTCTACCAGCACATTATGAGAAACCATAGTTTTTGGGTTTCGGGGGGAGTATGGTATCAAGGCTGAAATATAAAGATATTGATGGAAGGGATCCACAAGGAGTGGACCCTGTAGCTTAATTTGATTCAACACATGGAAACTTACTAGGTCAATACATCATAAACATTGACAGACTTAGAGCTCTTTCTTGTATCTATGGGTGGTGGTTCATGGTCGTTCTTAGTTGGTGAAGCGATTTGTCTGGTTAATTCCGTTAACGAATGAGACCCCAGCCTACTAACTAGCTATGCAGAGGTATCTAGACCAACTTCTTAGAGGGACTAGGACCTTTTAGGCCTTGGATGATTCTTTGTTAGTGTGAGTGTTGCATCTTTGTCCTGTCTTGTTTATATGTGTGTGTGGTTTTGGGACACTTCTTTCTTGTGAGGGCAGGTAAGTTGAAAAATTGGTGATTCTGAAAATTCCTAATTGAGTCAAGTGAGCATATGAAAGAGTTAATGAGTTGAGTCATTTCTTGAGTTTGAGTTGTTGTCACTTAAATGATTCTTGGTTTTAGAAAATATGTCATAAGAAAGAGAGGATTTCTTTTGTGAAAAGTTTTCATGTGGAATATTTGTTAGTACCAACCGAAGCCATTACCTTTGTGCTTAATTGAGATAGGGAAATTGATTTGTGGAACAGTCTGGAAATAAGAGT